AACTTGTTGGAAATACAGAGCCTCAGGCCCTAAACAAAGTCTACTGAATAAGATTGGGGTACCTCCTCCCCCAGTTTGTGTTTTAGTGAATCCTCTAGTAATTCTGATGTATTTGAAGGTTTGAGATCCACTGCTGCAGAGCAGAGTTACCCAGTAGAACTTCCTGTAGGGGTGGGGTTATTCTGTATCTGTCTATCCAATAGGGTAGCCACTAGTTACTTGTAGCTATCAAGCTCTGAAAATATAACCAGTATGAATCTAGATTTAAACTTACTTATTATTTTTGATAACTATTTTTAATAACTTTATTGTTTCCTTTTTTAATAACTTTATTCAATCCCTCCACCCCAACCTCTGACAACCATAAGTCTGATCTATGAGGTGTTTTTCTTAGATTCCACATATAAATAATACATTAATAGCATTTGTGTTTCTCTGTAAGATGCATTTCACTTAACATAATGCCTTCAAGGCCCCTCTATGTTGCAAATGGCAAGGTTTCCTTTTTTGTGTCTGTAGTATTCTGTTGCACACTTACATACATACACACATCCGTTGTATGGATTTATAGATTTCATATTTTATGAATATATGTTGCATTTTTTTTAACCATCTGTTGGTGGATGCTTAGGTTGTTTGCGTATCTTGGTGACTGTAAGTAATGCTGCAGTGAACATAGAGATGCAAGTTTTCTCTTGGAGACAATGATTTTCTTTCCTTCAGATAAATGCCCAGAAATGGGATTGCTGGAAGAAATTGTAGTACTACTTTAAAAATGTTGAGGAACCTCCCCACTTTTTCATAGTAACTGTATGAGCTTGTATTCCCAATCCAGATTTAAATTTAAATAGCCACATCTAACTAATGGCTACGCATTGGATAGCCTCACACCAAAGCGTACACTTCTGTTTATTATCATGTGGATAAACTAAAAGTCTTTAAATATAAGTTATTGGTTGTGAAATTACTAATTTTATGTCCCAGAATGAAATGCTTCTAGAAAAAACTCCACTGCTATAACAATAGTTAATTTAGGTGCTTCTCTAGGGAAAGCAGGTAGCTGTTGCTAGCTGTGTGTGAATTCACACTTGTGTGTGAATGAATAGTATTCACTTTGTGAAAGTGACCATGAAGAAATTCACCAGGCCGTGCCTATTGAATCACACTGGGTGTCAACTTGGTCCTGTGTCCTTGAACTTCAAATGGAGTGCGTGGAGACACACCACGCCAGACACTGCTCCCTGCTCCCATAGTGCGCCCGTCCCCTGTTCCCTCGGGCAAGTGCTTTCTGTGGCTTCCTGCTGCAGGGATCACACTACTGGAGGGTGGGTGGCGGGGAGAGGAAGAATTAGGGGTCAAAATAAGGGGGGTACCAATTGTATGGGGAATATAATCAAAAATGAAACTGCATACATTGTGCAACAAATGAAAAATGATGTAAGAATTACAAAAATAAATATTTTTTTTAAAAAAGACATTAATGCAGGAGATTTGGTGAGTCCCTTTCTTGGTTCCCCATACCTGAGTTCCCAGGCACTTTGGGCTTCTCCTTGTAGAATCATCCAGAAACATGCAGCTTTGATTGTAGTAAATCTGTGCCAACACATAGTGCTCTGATAAATGAAACTCTTGAATGACACTGGGGTTTTTGTAGATTTAGGAGGACTTGAAGGAAAAGAGAGTCCTACTACTGTCTTGTGTTGTTTACCTGTTGTTATAAAGGTGGGAAGATACTTTGAGACCAGTGTGTGGACATATAGCTCCATGGATAACGTGACCACATCTTTGTCCCCTTTCCCAAAGCACGGGGGGAGCTCTGACTGACAGTGTCCCAGCAGTCAGCAGAGCCTGTGACTAGAGCAGAAAGCAGCAGTGAGGAGCCAGGGAGCCCCTTGAGTGCTTAGCGCCCTTTCTTCCAAATGGAACAGCTGAAGAAGTCTCAAAATTAAAGCTATAGTCATTGACAGAAAGTAATCCTAAATTCTGTCATAAGCAAAGTTCTACATGACTGAGCATCCTAATTGAGGGCCCCATTTGTTGTGTTTTTTAAATCCATATCATTGATTTTTGTAATCCACCTCTTATAAAATCATAGAAAGTTAAAGACAGGGGATGAGAATTTTAAAATGGCCATAATCCAGCTTCTGCTGTCACACTTGACGAAACGGAGGCCCAGAGAGGTTTGAGTTGAGTAAAGACACACAGCAAGCCTAGGGCTGAGTCCTGGGAGGCCAGAGCCACCCCAGGAGGACAGGCCAGGATTCTGTATCCTCACAGCACTCACCGTTTCTTTCCTGTGTGTCGCTCCTTTTGTCTGTAATTGGTTGTATGCAGTTGGTATTATAGTCAGAGGCTGAACAGATTGATGAAAAAGGAATATTTCAAAGGCATAATAAGAAATCTATGATGTTCACTCTTTAGTTATGTTTTTAAGCAGTTCTTCTTGCTTAAGTGTCAGGTAGATATCTTGAAAATTCCACCAGAATATTTTGACTGATGAACCATTGCCGCTACTAATCTTATATTACTAAAGTTGCTCACGCCATATAAGCATATGATTTACTTATTGTACAACTCGTGTTGTAAACTGGTTCTTTTTTTATGGACAGTTTTGTGGGATGGGTTGTTTCTATTTATTAACTCTGATACCCTTTCTTTTGTGACTTAACCTTCTTTAAAATACATGCCTCTTCTGTTAGTCTAAAACTTTGAAATGTTGTTAGATGCTAAGCATGTAGCACTGTACGTGTAATAAGTACCCTCTAAGTATTGGTTGAGAGAGTGACTATCCCCATTCACACAGGTCTGATTATTATTTCTTCTGATTTATACTGTGATGGGGGAGGCAAGTTTCAATAGAAAAGAATATTTGCTGTGTAACTTTTTTCCCTCCTAACTTGAATGGAACCTGAAACAAAAAAATTCACATGCACACCAAAAGGCTAGGCAAGGTTTAGTAAATTGAATGTGGGGTTATTGTTTGTGTCCACAAAACAAAGCCTAAATCACATTAGCATAATTTGTGGTTTTAAATTGGACTGATTTAGCAAGGAGAGTGAAATAATCTCTCATCCTGTCAAAAAAGGCGATACCTTCAGACCAGCATTTAATTGCATTGGCAAAGTAACTTGGGGAAGGCAGCAGTAATTCTGGCTGCATTATTCTTTTTTGTGGTTAAATTGAGGTCATCATTTTCTCCTGGTTGCACTAACTTTCTTTATTGCTCTTCAAACTAATCCAATGAATGCAGTAAAAGGACCTTAGATGTGGCTGGAGGGAACAGGGGACGGGCGCACACTATGGGAGCAGGGAGCAGTGTCTGGCGTGGTGTGTCTCCACGCACTCCATTGAAGTTCAAGGACACAGGACCAAGTTGACACCCAGTGTGATTCAATAGGCACGGGCCTGGTGAATTCTTCATGGTCATTTTCACAAAGTGAATACTATTCATTCACACACAAGTGTGTCACTGACTACACACCTAGAAATGTTGTACAGATAGGGCTCATATGTATTCTTGTTGGTGTCCCAAAGTGCAGTTTCTGGGGGAAATTTCCAGCTGCTTCAATATCCTGTGAAAATCCATCCTTTTATTTCCACCTCCACTTAAGTAACTAGTATGACTCGATCATTTTCCATCTCAACCATTGCCTCTTTCCAGATACCTTTGTCCAAAATGGTTCATATTCCTCTAGCAAGAGCATGCCTTGTACCGTTGTTACACCTTCTTTCCTCTAGAAGAAAATCAGGTCCTCTGTACCTGAGACATTCTAGAAAGCTGAAAATGATGGCATAAAACGCTAATGGACAGTAACTCTGTCTTCTTTGACTTTATTTCCCTGACACTTTGAAATAGCTGTCTTCTTAAATATTTTAGGTGTATATTTGCAGTTTTATATATGCCTTTTTAGTAGTTTTAAGCCATTTTTTCACTGTTTCCTCAACCTTCTGGAACATTCCCTGGATGGAGCTGGTGGGATGGGAGAAAATGTATTGGCATCTTACATTGGCATAAGACAGTGGCTTTTTTTGCTGTGCCTAGAGCCCTTGTCAGTGGTTTCAGTTACCTAGAAAATCTTGGTTTTAGAGATTACTTGAACCACAGAAAAGTTAATGGCCAATAGCAAATGTTTGTAGAAAGACTGGATCAACGAGTGGTGTAGATGAAGAATGATCTAATGAAAGTCCTTCTGGTACCAAGTGAGAGTTAGTGTTTTTGAGGTAAAGAAGCCTTTAGCTTTTAAATTTGTATTTACAAGTACTCCAGGATAGGAAGAGGCTTTCAGGGTCCAGTGACTTATTTTGACCTGCAAGCTAATGTTCATGTCATGCTCTGAAGTTGTTTTCACATTCCCGTATAAATGGCAGAACACTGATCTGTTGCTAATCTGATGTACCTTGGGGGTAGGGGGAAGGGAGGATTTTCAAAAGTGTGAAGGCCAGAGGCCCAAGTCAGAAACTAGATAATGTGAAGACTTCATCATTTAGGGTTGAATTTAAGTTGTGATTTAGTGCAATGTTAAAGGAATGGGGTGATTCTTCAGGTAAGGGATGATTGAAACAGCTTGGTGACTATATATATCATTAGGCAGGGATTTGGAGTTTTTCTGTCTTCTGGTAGAGCTACACGGAAGCAAAAAGGAAGGAGACAGCTGTACTTATTAGACATTGTATGGCAATTTAAAAAGTATATGTTCTTTACAGTGCTTACGTATCGGCTGTTTATGTCCCAAATTGTCATCTTTCTGCCTGCTTCCTTCCTCTTTGTCCTTCTGATACAGGTTATGCCATGTGCTTCTATAATCTTAAAAACATTTTTACTTGTACTTGGTGGTGAGTTACTTCTAAGAAAAAGCTACCTCGAAACCAGAAAGACACATACGTGAATTAGGTGATGCTGTTGGAGTTTCATCTCTGCTTGGTTCAGGCAAAGTGTGTTGCTGGCGTTCCTTGCAAGGAGTGGGGTTCCAGTATTCACAGGCAGCATTTTTGTTCCGTAGCTGTGCCAGCAAACATCGCAGAACTGAAGAATTTGGAAGTGCTGAACTTTTTTAATAACCAGATCGAGGACCTGCCCACACAGATTAGCAGCCTTCAGAAGCTCAAACACCTGAACCTTGGGTGAGTATCAGTGGAGGAGGAAGGAAACTAAGGAGGAAGAAGAGCGTGAAAGGGGTGGGTGGCTATGGGTGAGGGAGGGCTGCCATTTATAGGGTTGTATGGGAGAAGCCGATTATTCATTTCTTTTTATGTTTTAGGTTTTTGAAAGTTTTGTTATACTACATCCTTTCAGAGGACTCCATTAATGCCTATCTGTTGGAGAGCTAATTGTCACAATAAGAGGATTTTTTATTGTAGTTTGTTTCCAATAAAATTTTATCTCAGTTACATTGATTGAGAAGGGACTTACTTGCATAGCATTGATTATTCAGACCAATGGTTGATTGTTTTCTCTGTATTAAGTATAAATGGTTTACAAAGGACTTCCCTTCTATGGAGGAATTGGGGGGGGTACATTTCCTAACACTACTTCATTGATTCTTACAATTCTTTTATGTGGTTGAGAGGTTACAATCCTGTGTTTTCATTTATACAAAGGTGAAGAGAAGTTTTATTCAGCTGAGGTTGCAGAACCAGGTAGCAGTGAATAAGTAATACCATCTATTGCTTTACAGTTTTCAAAGTCCTTCTGCCAGTATTTGACCCTCAATAATGATGAGGGAGGAAAGGTAGACATTAGCTTTCCTTTCATGGAATGGAAACTAAACCCTTTCAGAAGAGGTACTGCTCCCAGTTGCCTCTGAAGTTCAGGGCCAACCTAGGCTGATAATACTATTGTTTGAGGCCATGCCCTCCCAATCAGACACCAACATGCCACCAGGAACTTCAGCTTCTGAATTCTGGCTTCATTGTTAACGACTGTTAGGTGAAACTGCCTACTCATGCTGCATCCCCAGTGTGAAGTAATATATTCTCTGAATTATCATTATAACCATTAAATGTGATAGTTAAGCCAGTGATTTACATGGAGCGACAGTCAAAGCTGGCCAGGTTTGATGGCTTCAATAGGAAGCAAACCTGAAAAGCAAATCTCATTCATGAAACAACTTTTGGGTCATTCTTTCCATGGAGAGTTTGGTTCAACATTTATTTTGATGTTCACTCTGGATGAGACACTGTAAAATCCATGAGCTTTCTTTTCCCTGATGTCTTAGGGAAAGTCAAGTTTGGGGGTAGGTTAGTGTCACCTTAGATCTCAGATGGCTTTTTACACCTACAGAGATGGAGACTGTTAGCTGCTATTATCATTTTACTTATTCATTTATTTTTTGAACTCTTAAGTGCTGTTCCCTTGGAAACCTTGCTGGTGGTGGGGCTCACTAGTGAAGCACAATGCAGGACTTGGGGGCTGGGGCAGTGCCAGCTATAGAGCTTGGGCAGCACACGATGACCCTGATGTGTCCAGGGTTGGGGTTGCAACGGTCATGGGAAGGGCAGGGCCATTACTTCAGGTGAGATTCTCGGAAGGGTTCCTACGGGGGTTAGTATTGAGCTGAGACTGGATTCAAGAGAAGGGATTTCTTAGACGCATAGCAGCGGGAAGGCATCTCATGCTGAGAGAATGACATATTAAAATCTCAGAGCACTACATGCTCCAGGAGTCGAGAGTTGTTTGGTGAAGCTAAATGTGACGTGTGAGGCAAGGAGTGGCTAAGGGGAGAGGCGAGACCAGACAGGCATGGCTGCCTGCCATTCTTTTAATGAGTGTTTCTCATGCCAGGCACTGTGGTAGATACTGGCCACACAGCTTATGTGGCGTGTTCTTTACAATTGGGGAAGCAGACTGTAAACAAATCATCTCTAATGGCAGGGAGTCGGAAATGCTAATGAAGGGGCTCATGTGTCAAATACAGGAACTCTGATTCTATCTCGCTAACCACCGAGGAATTTGCATAGTGTAGTAATGAATTTAAAATAAAGTCCACCTTTTGTATAAAGGGTCACTAGCTGGGGGAAGTTTTAGGAGGTACAAGGAGAGGTTCTTACACCTGTCTGAATACTGGATTAGTTCTCCAGGGCAGTGAGAGTGGGGGCAGGGGAGAAATCGTATTTATATATCATTTATAATATTATGTTACATTACCATGAAATTTATTTAACCTTGGGGAGGGGATATAGTTCCAAGCGAAATGGTGCATGACTAATGAATATCTTACTTACCCTGTTTTTAATGTTTTATTAATTTAATGTTGATTTACAACAGGAGGGATTGCATATGAAAAAAACGTAAGAGAGAAAATGGGTGAGGCAAAATTGGCAAGACAATAACGGATGGGCTGGGATATTGTGAGCTAAATACTGTTGTGAGCAACTGAACTGGAAATGTAGGTGCGGATAGCTTTGGGCAGAAGGTGAGCTCAGGTTCTATTCATTTGGGTTCTAGGTGCTTTAGAGCAGTTACAAAATTTTTTTCAGTCAGATGTGTCTTAGATGCCTCTTTGTCACCTTTGGAACTGTTCACCTGTTTTACTGTCAGTGCTTTATTGATTGTAAAAACTTCTGTATTTAATTACGTGGCTACATAGATGGGGTTGTCGAAGTCTCAACAAAATTGTTGGTTTTTGGAAGGGAATGAAAATTGGCTTTAGTAAAGGATGCTCCCATCTTCAAATGGCATAAAGAATTATACCTGTATGGCCTTGGTAAAGGCACGTCACAGAGAGGGGGCATCTTAAAATAAGCAACCAGAATAGAAATACGCTTGCAGGAGACACTGCAGCCAAGCACTTAGGCCACATGTGTGTAGAATCTGAACAGCGTGCCCGGCCAGATGTTGCTTGTAAAGTTTTATGTAGTTTATTTGCTGATGATGACTAAAGAGATCGGAAGTGAGTTTTAGGCCATCTGACCAAATAAAGGCGAGTTTAGTTTTCTTCCTAATTTCTATTCTACTTATGTCTTTTTCTTCTGTTCGTATTTCTACTTACAGAGTTGTTTCCCAAAACATGTGAAGCCACACGGGTTAGTGTTGGTCAAGGGATAATCTCACAGCACCAGCTACTCTGGACTCTGATTCCCCTAGGGAGATGCTCAAGCTTCTCTTGTGCACACTTAGAGGTTTTCGCTAAGTACAGTATTGAGTGTTCATGGATTTGGATTTCTGTTTTTTTGTTTTTTTTTTTCTGAAAATGGGAAGTAGGTTACTTCAGAAGACATAGAAACTCTTGCCTTTAGCCAAAATCATTTTATTGAAGGAGGAAGAGCCCAAGAAGACCTCGGAGAGCAAAACCTTCTAAAAGAAAGGTATTAGTATGGACTGTCACAGCTTTTAGATGAAGAAAAAAGATGTTGAACAGCCTTTGACTCTCTGATTTTATAAATTTCATCACATGTTGGTGTTTTCCCATTACCAATTAGCATTTGAAAAATGTTTGCATGCAAACAAGAATTTGTACCATTTGGCATAATTGAGCTGATGTAGTGCAGATAGAAAACCTGCGCCTGGCAGTTGAAGTTATCCATGATGGTCTTCTCCCAAAAGGAACTTGCCTGTTTAGGCTGAGTCAAAATTTCCCTTAATTCTCCTGAAATATAATTGTACTTAGAGCTCTCGTTTCTTGATAGCCCACTGGGAACCATGAATTGTGTTAGGGACTTCATGTGTTTTTCTCTCCCATCCTCTTGGCCATCCTCCCATCCTCTTGTTGCTGGGAATGTATCACTATCCTTATCATACAGTTGAAGAAATAGGGTCTCAGAGAAGCGGAGTAACTTCCCACGGTCATCCAGCTGGCCAGTGCTGTGACAGGATTTCTTACCTGCTATTTACTTCCCTATGCCTGTTGCCACGTCTCATGGAAATCCTCTCAAAGCAGACCTTGCACCCTTGTTGTGGATTTGGAAGTTAGCAGCCTCTGAGGGTGAAGCCATCACATTGCTGTCCTGAGGCCTGCAAAGATACACAATTCTTGCATTGTTTGTAGCCCATTGTTAGCATTGCTTCTGGACCTCCTGGACCTTCTGAAGCATTTCCCTATGTATGGCTTCCTTTCTGCCTGCCAGCCTTGTGGGCTTACTACTGTCACTTGCTATTCAATGCATGGGGGGGGGGGGGCTCTGCTGTATTCCTAATAAGTTGGGGTTGTTGGTTTGTGCCTCAGAGAGAAGAACCACCTGCAGTTTGATAGATGCCTGCACCTGGAGGTGGTCAGTCTCATGCTGACTCTCGACCCCTTTTCCTCTAAGGAATTCTGACGATGACTTCCTGAGCCTTATGTTTCAAAACTGTACTTCTTTATTTGGAGGGACTACTTGATTGGTTACTTTAAAAAAAAATGGGTAAGAGCAGTGTTTAAAGAAAGAAGCACCTAGTGTATATTTCTGTGCCTTTCCCACTGTCTCTGGTGCTGCTTTCATTTTATTCAGCTCTTCACATCAGAGTGACCTGGCCTCCATGAGGTCAGGGTGCTCTCTGAAACCTGACACCCTCATCAGTAGAGCCAGAAGTCCTCATTACTCACCTCTTTTAGTTTGTTCTTCATGTCAGAATCACAGAGATAATTGCAAGCACTGTCCTGCCTGCATTACACAGTAGTTTTTATGATCCAGGTGAAATTCTAGGTAATAAATACATACATAAACTCAAATTGTCATAGGGTTTATTTTGCTAAATATCAAGTTTGCCCATCAAGGGATGGAATTCCTTTTCTTTTGGTTTGCCTTCTGCTATAAGCTATTTTCTCATGATGCCTGATTGATGGACTGGATTATATCTAACACGGCAAAGGTCAATGTTGAGAATTCTTTTTGTGTCACCATCCCTCCCACCTTTCAGTGTCTGTGAGCTTAGATATTTTAAAAGAATTATTTAAAAATCAGCTCTTAAGTATACGCAGATACATTAAGAAAATAATAAGAGAGGGCCTCCCCAGTGGTGCAGTGGTTGAGCGCTGGGTTGCGAAGCTGCCTGCGGCCTCTGCGGCACCGGTTCAATCCCCGGCTGCTCCCCGGCCACCGGAGGAGGGTCCCACATGGCGCGCAGACCTCTCCTGCCGCCCGCTGCTCCCCTCAGCAGTGTACTTCGGTCCTTCTGCCTGCTCTGCTCCCTGCTCTGGCTCTGGTGAATTCTCTCACCCTCCCGCGCTTCTGACTGTACCCAGTGCATGTATAAACAAATAAACAAACAAATAAATAAATAAATAAATAAAACATGCCTCTATTAAAAAAAAAAAAAGAAAAAAAGAAGAAAATAATAAGAGGCAGTAATAGACAAGTTTCCCATAGATTTTATTAGAGATACAGATTTTTAAATTTTTAGTTATGATAAAACACACACCCCATAAAAATCTACCATGTAAGTCATCTCAGGTTTAGATTGAATGGTGTGAAGTAGTATGTTTCCACTGTGGTACAGCCAGTCTCCAGGAGTTTCTCATCTTGCAGAACGGAAACACCATCCCATCAACACCAGCTCTGTATTTCCCTATCCCACAGCCCCTGCACCCACTGTTCTAATTGGACATCATTTTGAACGTTATTGGTGATAGAACAAAAAAGTGATTTCCCCCCCCCATTAGAGAAAATAAAGGAAGTGTTTGAAAACTATAAAGCTTAGTATGTATCTTTGGAGGTCTTGTTATTGCTGCATTCATAAAGAAGTTTTTTCTCTAAAACAGATATTTTATGATGATTTAAGTTTCAATGCAAAACAGTGATTGAAGTTCACCACTGCAGAAAATGACAACTAAGACATATTCAAATGTTTCTCAAACATATAGTTTCATCAAACAGGTTTTTTCACTAGAATTATTAGGCTGCTTCAAAAATCATTAAATGATTATAGAATGATGGCACTCGTAGGCCTGTTGAAGAGGTGGTCTGAGTAAGCATGTCAACACTGATGTTTAATATATGATGTCTTGGATTCCCCCCACCCCTCTCCACAGCATGAATAGATTAAACACCTTGCCTCGAGGATTTGGCTCCCTACCAGCTCTGGAGGTCCTTGATTTGACTTACAACAACTTGTATGAAAAGTCTCTTCCTGGAAACTTCTTCTACCTTAGTAAGAAACTTTTAATTCTATAAATCTCCTTAAAATGGTACTTTGCGTTCTAAAAGTGAAATTTATTTGCCAGGGCCCAAACTCCAAGAGAAATTATTGGACATATATATTTTTTTCTTCACAGATTCCTTTTGCATATTCCTTCATTGCTCAGCAGTATGTATGTTTGATATATAGTTAGCTGACACCATTCCGCTGAAGTGGACTTAGTAATGTCATATTAACTTTCCAGTAGAGCTTATGTGCCTAAATGAGATCAAGTCTCACATTTAGCTTAGGAACTTGACTTTCTTTTTGAAGAGCATGTTTAAAAAAATATGTCTATTAACTCTTTATGGGTTACTTGCCTGTAGATATTCCATTTATTTATGAAAATCTCCATTAATTAACCACTAACAGAATTTTTTGACTTTCCAGACAGGATACTTGTTGTAAGTCTTTTGGTTGTTTTCATTGGTGCATTCTGTTTTTGTCTAGTATATAATCAAATGTCGAGAAATTGTTAGTCACAGATGAACACACTTTATCCTTTCATATGCAAACTTTTTTTGCTGCAGATGCTCAAAAAATAAGGAAAATTTTTTTAAGAACTCATGAAATATTTAGGAATGAGTTGTTTCCCTTAAATGACTGTTATGCTTCTTCCAATAGTGACATAGAAAGAATCCAGAAAATCTGAATTTTGTGAGCTGGTTTCTAAAATTTCAGTTTTTACCTTGTGTATGCTCTCACTCCCAGACTTTCTCAAGCATATGAAGCCAATTCTAAAATATTTTCTCGGGCCATGGAAGAAATTATATCTGTTATGTAAATTCTGTCAAATTTTAAAACATTATAATGTAATTAAATAGCTGTAAACAAACAAAACTCAAATCTAATTATGTTCCTTTTTTTTTTTTTAAGATTTATTTATTTTACACAAGAAACGGGGTACAAGCCAGATGCGCGGGAGGGTGAGAGGATTTACCAGAGTCAGAGCAGGGAACAAAACAGGCAGACTGACAAAATACACTGCTGAGGGGAGCAGCAGGCAAGACAGGAGAGGTCTGCTGTGCCATGTGGGGCCCTCGCTGGCCAGCCGGGATCAAACCCGTGCTGCAGAGGCTGTGGGCAGCTTCACAGCGCGGTGCTCAACCACCTGGGCCACCAGGCCCTAATTATGTTCCTTTTTAAGATTTTACCCTTCAATAGTTTGTAATAGTGTTATCATTATGTAACATGGTAAATAAGTGTCTGAATACAGCTGTTCACCTAAGCTAGGGTTTTCTCTGTTTTTAAAGTCCATGTCACCACTTTAGACCCTTGGTCTTCATTTATTGCTGTTGTTAAAGCTGGGAAGCAAGTAATAATAATTAGTCTGATCCCAGAAACAAACTCTGACTATGGCCTCCATCACTTGGAAGCCTTTTACTTACTTATTTTAATAACACAGTTCTGTTTACAAGAAAGAGCCCTTTTCTCCTGAGTATTGATAGAAGTGACACAATGGTCTTTTTTGTTTTACTTGGGATGCAAAAACAGTAATAAATGTGAATCGGAAGTAATAGAAGAAAAATAGCTATCTTTTTCTAGTGCTTATGGAAACTCCATGCCAAAAACTGCTAGTGCCCACAGTTGTTAATTGTGTCAGTCCTGCTGGATATAGATGTTTTCCTAAACACACCAGCTCCGCAATAAGCCAGTAAATCTAAGTTTGACCTGCTTGTTATTATTGTGAGCCCTAGGTATGTCACAGGCTTTTCACCAAGCCGGGGTTATTAATCAAAGCTGACTCCCTTGTATTGATCAGACCTCAAGTGGTTGGGTTCCATGCCACCCTGTTTATATATTGCTGTTTAATTTGCAGCCACCCTGCGTGCACTCTATCTAAGTGACAACGATTTTGAAACCCTGCCGGCAGATATTGGGAAGCTCACAAAGTTGCAGATAGTAAGTAATTTATCTAAATTCTTAGAAAATCAATTCACTTCTGCAGCCCTTGTAAGAGTAGACTCAAGTCAATTTAAGCAGGAGTATGGTTTGTTTTGCAGGAATAAACCACTACTCCCGATACTGTTTCTTGTTCATCCCCAGACCCTTGTAAATAAATTGAAAGGATTGAGCCTTCGAAGAAGAGAGGACATGCGAGAGGACAAGAGTTGCTGTTGAGCACCTTTTATGTGAAAATTCTTTGACAACCCCTTGTGTTCTTATATTTAGCTCAGCCTCAGGGATAACGACCTGGTCTCGCTGCCAAAGGAAATCGGGGAGCTTACTCAGCTTAAGGAACTCCACATTCAGGGGAACCGTCTGACAGTGCTGCCCCCAGAACTCGGTAAGATTGCTGATGAATCACCTTAGTTCTGGGTTTAATTAATAATAATGATCCAAATGCAGCAATTCTGAATAACTCTCCTTTTCTTGGCAAACAGCCTCCACTGACGCACCCAATTCTTATCATTTCTAGTAGCTTTTGTCATTGACCAGAGTTTAGCCATTTCAGGTTGACCTGTCCTGCATTGTTCAGCAGCTGCAGCGCCCAGTGTCTCAGAAGCTGCTGCCGAAACACTAGCTGGCTCTGCTGCCCACACGGAGGCTCACGAAAGAGCCTCAGATCAGTGGTAATGGTTTTATCAGTAGCTCCTTCTTTACTAGCAGGTGATTTTCTAAAAATCCAATCATTGCTCTTATCTTTTGTAGTCCTTAATTTTTTTTTTAATCCTTAAAGCACTTTTGCCAAATAATTGTTATAGCTCCTTGAAAAATACCTTTTCCAAACTTGAACTTGGTTCTCTCCTGATTCCATCTCCGTTGGGAATTGGTCACTGTGCTCTGGTTCGGAATCCCTTGATACTTCTCCCCCGGCAGCTAGATCTCAAGATTCTGCCCTCTGGTTCACAGGGCTCAGGGTGGGCTGATGGCCTCCTCAGAAATTACCTCTGCCCAAATGTTCTGTTGTTGTGTATGTGCTTCCCTTCTGGAAAAATTCAGAAATGCACTTCTCTTTTCTCAGGCATATTCTCAGTACTCACTGATTTCTTCAAAACAGCTGCATTGTTTTCTCATACTATGATTATTTGCTTTTCTGTTGCAAAATGTTATAATTTTAATAAACACATTGAACTCAGAGTTCCTGGAGGAAGTAGTTCCTCAAATGAGGCTGGTGGTTTTAAAGAGGTCAGTTGTTATAAATGAGGATGTAAGCACATGAGAGCAGAGGTTTGGCATTTGTTCATGGCTCTAACCCCAGTGCCACCCTTGTACTGAGCATGTGGGAGGTGCTCAAGGAGCCTGCACAGAATGAGTGAATCATCGAAGGGCTCGACAGCAGGGTGTTGGGTAGACTCTGAGTAGACACAGTTTGACTTCTTTTTGAGTTGCATTGTCCAGTGTGACTGTCACTAGCTCCCTTTTAAGTGCTCAGTAGTCACATGTGGCTAGCGGCTACCCCATGGGAAAGCACAAGTAAAGAACATTTCCATTGGCCCAGAAAGCTCAGATGGGGGTTGCCAGTGTAAGGGAAAAGCACTCATGTGATTTCATTCAACAGATGTAGTTTCACAACCCAACACTCCCACCCACCCATCTAGCTCCTTTGTTAGTATAAAGGCCTAGAGAAATTTGTACTGATTTTAAGGGCCCAGAAGTAACTCAGAACCTTCTCTGCATTGAGTTATAATAGTCACTCTCACTTCAGGAACAGGCTAGAGGATCAAGAAAAGATCTTTGCAGAAATTTTAAGGCAAGAAAATTCCTGTCAAAAGAAATACTCTGTACAGTGATTGCTAACCATAGGTGTTAGCCTTACCAACACATATACATTTTTACAGAATAAAAATGCAAGATTCCTCCCCAGCCTACCAAATCCAATCTCAACACAAGAATCGAAGTCTCTCTACTACGGCAGAGTTCACTTAGTGCTCCGACGTGTGTCCTTGCTTGGTGTGACTAGTAGAAACAAACAGAATGTCTATTTTCTTGTTTTATTTCTTTAGTCCAATAACAAGGCAATTGAAGGCATTAGATTAATGAATGATTTCTATCAGATAATTTGTTTTTCTAACAAATAGTTGAACCTAGACTTACACATCTATTTGTGTATTTTTAAATCCTACTCATGTTGCCTACCCTATTTAAATATTGCATGTAAACCTATTTGCCTGACATCACTGTTGAGGTCCCCAATAACAAATTATATATATTTTTATTCAGGAATAGAATTGAGGAGGAAGTATTTACAGGACTTTATTTTTGTAAGCCAGACCTAGAAAAGCTTCATCTCAACATCTGCTTGGTGGCAGTTTTCCTTCATGGCAGACAAACACTTAGCTGGAGATAAGTGCTAAAACCCCTGGGAGTTTCTGCTGCAAATCTAAACACAAAATGAAGACAGATGTTTTACTTATTTTTGAACAATGATTTTTTTTTTTGAAGTCAAGAATAAAATAGTAGTAGTATATTAAGGCCTTGTGTGCCAGGATACAATGATGATGGCTGCCTTTGCTACATCCTGCAATATCTCCACAATCATCACAAAAATAGCTAAGTGGGCTTTTTTGAAGGTGAGGAAACTGAGACATAGAACGGGTTGGTAACACATCCTCAGGGACACAGTGAGTTTGGAACCCTGACAGCTCGTGGTCCAGGTACCTGTTCTTTTACCACTGTGCTGTATCCAGTCCATTTTTGTGGCAGCAAGAGTATTCCAAAAAGCAGTTTTCAAGTGTAGACAAAACACAGCTTCTGACCCTGGTTCCCACCACTGCCATCAAATGGTGTTGGGAGGAGAGGGAATATAATGTGGCCAGTGGCAAGGCCGACTGCTGGTGTCTGAGCAGCAGGACTAGGACAGCTCCCTGCAAAATGCAGACTGAGCTGGCTCTGTGAAACAAATTACTATTCCACTGAAACATGCCAAACCAGTTGCATTGTCCCTATGGTTCTTTCCCCAATAAACATCGAGCCACAGAAGGAATGGCTTTGTTGTCTGTGTGCCTGGTATCTAAGCTGATCATCTGGAGCAGCCCTGGCTGGCTGATATGCAGTCACAGGACTGAGGTGCTTGAAGCTTATTATATCTGTCCCTGCAGTATCCACTGGCTTCAGGTTTGCTTCTGGGTGCAGTTTAAAGTGTGGAAATGATCTCTCATCTGTATATTCATTTTTTGCATATCTGAAGCAGCAAGGTAAATGCTTTAGAGATTACTATGAAATTTCCTTTAAGAACAAAGTTGGAGTTTATTAACTTGAAACCTCGTTGGTAAGAGCATTTGAGCCAAGCAAGGGAATCCAGAAGAGTTCTGATTTGTCAGATCTAAAAATATGCAGGGACAGAGCAAAATAGTCAGGGCCTTGGTTGGAGTTTGAATATGTAATTGTGTTACCTTTCTTTTATTGTGCCTCCCTGAATAAGTTTCTTTAACCTTTATGTCTGATTTGTAAAGAGTGAAGCACTTGATTTTTGTGTTATTCTGTATATCTGTACAAAATTACATATAAATTGGGTCTGTCTTTCACCCATTCATTTATTCACTCATTCGGACATTTATTAACTTCCCACTTTAGACCAGGTCTTGTCTCTAACGAACTTTTCCAATAAAGTAAAATGCACTTAACCAGAAACTGTTTCTTGAGCCCCTGCTTCATATTTTATTTGCTGAGGACATAACAAGAGCTAGCACCCCGTATGATATTCAAATAGGGGAGGGTGAATAGGTAAACCCTAAGCATATCAGATGTAAGGGCTCGGGGACAAAAATAAACATGAAAGTGAGTTTCCAGATGGAGGGGGGTGTTGGGTGTTGTTGCTCTGTTATACAGAGTGGTCAGAAACCTCACTCAGGAGGTGCTGTCAGGTAAGCAGAGACCTAAGGGCGAAGCACGTGCAGAGGCCTTAAGGTGGGTGTATATTGAGGAACAGCAAGGAGACTAGTGTAGCTGGAACAGAGTAAGCGAGAGGGAGAGTTGGAAGTGATGAACATAGGTAGGATGTAGGGATTTGATCTCTTGGGACCTTGGAGGGACATTGTGATACTGGCTTTTACCACGACTGAGATGGTAGTAGTCTTAACAGTAACCTCCAAAGATGCTCACCTTCTGATTGCCAGAACTTGTGAATGTGTTACCTTGTTAGGATGAAGGAGCTTTGCTAATATGATTTACAATCATGAGGCAGGAGATTATCTGGCTTAGAAGGTAAGCCCAGTGTAATCATAAGGGTCTGTGGAAGAGAAAGAGAAGGGGACCAGAGAATCTAGTAGAAGATACGGTGACAGAAGCTGGAGGTTGGAGTCAGGAACCATGAGCCAGGAGCTCAGGGAGCCTAAGAAACTGAAAAAGACAAGGAAATGGATTTTCCCCAGAACCTCCAGAAGGGGTGCAGCCCTCTGCCTTCATGCAGATAGTAGTAAGGCAGAACTGACAGGAATCAATGGTGATGAAATGAGGAGAGAGTTGCTGACTGTGAGCGGTTGCTCCCGCGGAGCCAGAAGGATGGGGGGTGACTGAAGAGCAGGTTAAGTCGAGGAGGCGGCACAGAGCTGGTCCTGAGTTGAGGTCCAGGTAGTTGAAGTTTGAGGTGCCTTTTGGCCATCTAACTGAGAAAGGCGAAAGAGTCTGGAATTCACATGAAAGGTCTGGGCTACGTGTGCAGGTATGGTGTTAACAGATAGGGATGAGAGCTCCCAAAGTGATGAGAGGGTGGATTGAGCCTTGCGGCTCATCATAGGATGCTTGACGCTTTCCATAAGAAAAGTGGGTTCTTTTACAAGACAGAGTGAGGCTCCACCCGTCCCCTTTTTCCTTACATTTACCTCACTCTGCCAGTGATAGAGTGAACTAGACACAAATGAAATCTCCCTGGGAGCCTACCTGAATCCAGGTCTTTGTTGGGTCAGCATTTTCAGCCAGCCTCCAGTATCTCCTAAAAAACAGCAACTCAGCTTGCTGAAGTTTCACCTACTTTTAATTAATGAAAGAATTAATTAGTGGAGTGGAGAAAGGGGCTGCGTTGATAGCAGAGGAAGGAAAGGCAGATATCCTGATCAACCCTCAAAACAGATAAAGCCCTAGAGCTAACAACCTTAGGTGATTTCCAGGCTGGTGGCTCTATGCGCTGTATGTTCCAGTTTGCGTTTAGAAATGTCTAAGGGTACAAAGAAATATCTTATGATTGGAGGGTGTGGACGAATAAGAGAACCCTGAAAACTTAGGAAAGAGATTACACAAAATCATGAAGTTCACAAGACGGGGTCCTTGCCATTCTTAAAACCCCATCATAATTATAATAATAAACTTTAATTTCACAAATGGTTTTCCAAGTCTCTACCCTTCTTG